ATAGAAGAGGTGATGTGTGTTGCTTGTGTGCTATACTTACGGCTGGCTAGCTGCCTCTGTCTCTCTTTCTTGATATATGATTGGTGGTGGTTTGTATAGAGCTAGAAGCATAACAGTTGAACTTTAACCTGCACAGCGATTGTTACCGTTATCATTTGTCGTTTCGGGGCGAGACAGAGGACAGAGCTTTGTTGAGCGCTTTAAGCTGCGATCGCTTAATACCCGTCATGCACTGAAGAAACAGAAGCTTTGTGGCGTGCGTGTGTGTGTGTGTTTTCCCCCTCTCAAAACTAGTTTTTGGTGGGTGGGCGACCTTGAATTGCCACAAGCTAACTTGGCTTTAACCATTGTCTGTTGTTTTGATTCTGTCTGTGCTTTTAAGCTTAAAAATAGAACTGATTGGGTAAATAACAAGCCAAACGGAAGTATTTTGTTGAATGCAGACATTTTGATTTCTTTCAAATGATTCGATTCGACTCCCCCCTTCTCCAATGCGTCACTGAAACCCCGCATCTGATTCATTTCTTTGGATCGTTGCCTCGAATGTCACTTCGAAAAGATGATTCAGGGCGCGGTCGTCGTTTCTGTCTGTGACCCCATTATAACTGAAACCCGAAGTCATCTAAATTCGGGGTTTACTTACTGAATATTTTGGGTTTTCTGTAGTCGTCTCAGATATGCATGCACTTGGCGTATGAGTTGTAGTTGCCTTTAACTGCTGTTTGTTTTGTTAATAAGCAAAGTAGCCTTGTTCATCTGGTTAGCCATGAAGCAGGTTAAATGTTTTAAATTGTGGTTATTTTTTGAGGTTGCTACTGCCTCAAAGAAAAACCTTTGGCGCCACGGACATGGACTTTGGGATTGTTGTGATTATTTCCTCAACGCCTCTCAGACAATCCAATCTGTAAATCTATAAATAAATATCTGTGCGATCTGCTGGGCTATACTTCCACTTCCATCGAATGTATTTATCATCACTCTCTTGCCCTATGCCCATTCGAAACATCTGGAGGCAATTGTTTAGGCCTCCGACTATGCGATTTCATATTCGAGTGGATGGTGTGGTACGAGATCTGTATGGGTATTTCGGGTTTGTTTGGTTAGTTTATGTCATTTATCATCCGACTGTTTACACGATTTGAAGTTTTTGTTTCGCTTCAAAGAGGAGAAAGCATTCATTTGGGCGAAGATGATCACAGCAAACAAACTGATTTTTGCCTCCACTACTCTCCCCTTCTCTTTCCTCTTTCCAATCTGCTTTCAAATTAATCTAGAACAAAATGGCGTCTGGGGTGGGAAGCTTTTACTATTGTTGTTTGTTCAAGTGCTCTTTTTTTTTGGGTTTTCATTTGTTGTTCAACTTTTAATCGCAAGTTTTTTGGGGAAAAACGAGTCTTTCGATGGAAGTGTAAAGTGATATTCCAGCACTTAGTTGGAGTTTACTGTTGAGCATTTATTAACTAGATTTCATGTTTGATCTGTCGTAATTTGGATGCAAAATACTTGTACATGGTTTAATGGGGCATTTATGTATATATATCTCGATCTATTTACGTGGTTTGCCTTGGGGTCCATCAACAACTGTCGCCCGTCCCGTCCGCCCACAGCCTTGTGTTGGCGCGATTTGAATGAAAAATGTGTCGTCGCTCATGAGGTCGATCGTTCGGTCGGTCACTCAAAATAAAATGTATTCCAATGTCATCATCATCATTATCGTTAGGTTTATGGACGATACAAATGGTTTTCGTACCACTGTTCGCTCGCTGCTTGCAGGTGTAAAAGTATGCAGGTTTTCGGTTGATTTCGCCACAGTCTAAAGAGTTCGTTGAAACGTATTGAACACGAAAAATAACACAACAAAATAACAACAACAACCGAATCCGAATCAGTCGGAAAAGTGCATTGCACTTGTTCATGCATGACAAACCCCATCTCATTCCATTAATTATTTCACTTTATTTTTGAAACACTGTAATAATATTTTACTTTTTTTAATTGTGCAAACAAAAAAAACCTTTTGCAGCGAGTAAGTTTATTTTGAATATAGCCAAAAAATCATAAAAGCGTCAAGCTAAAAGCAATAAAAAGCTCACTTAACCGAGTTTTGCAAAATACATAAATATAACTGTAGCTGTAACAGTAACAGTGTTGAAAAACTGAGTTGGCATAAACGCAAGTGTTTTATTATCGTGACAAGCATTGAGCGAACACATAATAAACCGTAATTTCTAGCGCTTTTGCCCCTGAACTCACTTTTTCTCTAAAGATATTTCTCTCGCTCGAGAGAGATTTACTATACGACAACAACTGAGAGAGATCAGCGTACGCCAGACAAAATCTGACTGATACGACAACAATATTTGAATCGTTGCTATCGTTAAATTGTCCTTTGGTACACTGACTATTACACAATTTGTTGTCCAGCCATTGTTGAGGGTGTTTTTGTTTGTTCGCTGTTTGCAAATTGTTGAAAGAATTGCATTAAGGTCACAGAGCTGCTATATCTTAACCGTATAGCCAGAAGAAAGTTGCTGCAAAGCATTATCCGTTCCAACGGAATCCTGAGCCCTGAGACCAGTGTGTGCATTACAAGTAGCAAACAGTTTGTTTTATTTTCGGTAGCGCGACAGTTCCATACTGCTCTCAGAGAACCAAAGAGAGAAGCGCCAGGTGTTTCCTTTGCTGTGTACACCAACAAATTCGAGCTGTAGATTGAGAGTGAACTTTCCAACTGGAAGAGTTTCATTCGCTGATATCGCCCTTAGATTGGGAAGCCTGAAATTGTTGTTCCTTTTTCGAAAAAGCTGAAAATAAAAGTCAAACAAGTGAGAGAGGACTGCGAGAACGAAATTGAGACATCCTGTTCATTTCCACTTCTCCTCCTCCTCCAACGCAATTTGTGTGTGTTGTGGCCTAGTTTTCTTTTGCAACTGCACTTTACTTTGCTGTCTCTTTCTTGCTCGTGCTCTTGCTCAGAGACAGAGAGAGTCACTCAGAGAGATAGTGTGGCGTGTTACTACGTTAACTATATAAAAAACCATTTCCTTGAAACCACAATTCGAAACCTTAAAACCACCAACACAGGTACTAGGCCAGCCCTCACAATGTCTGTCCCTGTACGCTACTCTGCTGCCGCCGAATACGCCGCCGACGTCGTTGATTGTGGTTTGGAGGATTCTCAATACCAATACCAGCAACAACAGCAACAGCTAGACCATCAGCAGCAGCCACCTACCAACCACTACGAGCAGGAGTACCAATACCAATACCAGTCCCAGTACCAACAGGAGCAGGATATCGAGTACTATTGCCAGTTGGAGGCGGTTGAGCGGCAGCGGCAGCAGCAGCAGTTGATGCAGCAGAGGACATCGATGTCGTCGTCGGTTATGTCAGGATTCGCCTTGCCCCCCACCAGCAGCAACAACAACATGGACGCCAACAGCATTAACGCCATCCTGGTCGATGATGAGCAACCCTCGACATCGGCCCAGGCAGCGGCTGCATCTGTTCTCGCCGGCAGCGTTAGTGCCGCCAGTGGTTTGGCTTCGGTTGGGGGCAAGTTGGGGAATGTCATGGACCACAATGCAGAGATGCCAACTGATTGGATGAGGATTGCGGACGAGGGCCGGTACGGGACCCCGGGTGCTGCTGGCTTGGAATATCAGAAGTACGATCAACAGCAACAACAAGAGCAACAGAAATTGGATATGGAAGCCGAGGCAGGAGCAGTCGGCGGTGTTGGCAATGAACCAACTTCCGCGAAGAAGCAGCTGGAGGACCAACTGCACGCTCTCACCTCCGACGAGCTCTACGAGACTCTCAAGGAGTACGATGTTTTACAGGACAAGTATCACACAGTCCTACTGCTGCCCAAGGAGTCGAGGGTAGGTCCACACGAGATCTGTTTCCCTGAAGCGCCGCGCATCACTAACGACTCTCCTTTCTCTTTTAGCGCGAGGTGACTGCCGGAGGACGTGACGGCTCTGCGTACGTGCTACGCTGCCTGAAGATGTGGTATGAGCTGCCATCCGATGTCCTGTTCTCGGCCATGAGCCTGGTGGATCGCTTTTTGGACCGCATGGCTGTCAAGCCCAAGCACATGGCCTGCATGAGCGTGGCTTCCTTCCATTTGGCCATCAAGCAGCTGGACTTGAAGCCCATACCTGCCGAGGATCTGGTTACAATATCTCAGGTTGGTTATCTTGTAAACTCTCGAGTCTACCAGAAGCAGGATTTCATGGTGTATTCTTTGATTACAGTGTGGTTGTACCGCTGGCGATCTGGAACGCATGGCTGGCGTTATTGCCAACAAGCTGGGTGTCCAGATGGGACATGCACCGATCACATCCGTGAGCTACCTGCGCATCTACTATGCCCTCTTCCGCAACCTGGCGAAGGAGATTGGCGGTGATTTCTTCAAGTTCTTCCAGCAGCTGATTAAGCTGGAGGAGCTCGAGAACCGTCTGGAGATCCTGTTGTGCGACGTGAAGACCACCGTCATCACGCCCTCAACTTTGGCTCTGGTGCTCATCTGCCTGCATCTGGACTTCCACATCAAGGAGTCGTATACCCGCGGCAGTCCCGAACTAAAGCACGTCTTTGAGTATATTCTCTTCCTGCAGCAATACATGAGGGTGAGTGTCTGCCACAGATGGAATTGCCGAATTGGAATGTATTTCTAATGATTTGTTATTTTTATAGATTCCCGATCGCGTTTTCACCTGCGGCTTTAGCATTGTTTCGGGCATTCTGTCCCATTACAATGGTCAGAACAAGGCGCCCTACAAGCAACGGCTTGTCTGGAAGTTGTCCAGTCGCACGCTGCGCGTCTTGCGCCCAATCAATCGTTTTTCCTCCGACCTGCCCACCATTGAGGAAGGCATTTCCAATGCCCTTGACGATGGCCTCCGTTCAAGGTGAGTTTCTCAGTTCTATTAACAAACATTTCCCCATCAAGGTTGGCCCTTTCCTGCCTTGATCTTTCTAACGGAATACCTCACTTTTTCCATGCAAAGCCTGGCCATACAAATTGTATTTTTAGTGCCTTATTTTTATGGTTTGACACACTCACACATTTCTAGTATTTATATGTATTTGCGATCCCAATATGTAAGCAAAATGTAGCGATGACGATCTGAAACGAACGTTTTTTGGCGTAAACAAGTTTCTAGAATTTAGCGATCCCATTATCAGGCACGGCACCCAAAAAATCAACAACAAAACAGCCTATGGGTGTCATGAGACTTGTTGGCTCGTTCGACCAGCCGTCTCCGCCCCGCCCCCACACCTCTGCTCCGCTCAGAGACCTCTATGTATATTATGTAGGTGTGTGCGTGCGCGTGTATACGTTTGTTTTTTGTTATTTTTCGGCAACAATCTTATCGAAATGAAATAACAGCGGCACACGCACATAACCCCGCCTGTCCGTTCCCGTTGAAAGTCCAAAGCGAGGGTAGACAAAAGAGTAACGGGGGTAACGCGAGCGAGAGGAGAGCAGGAGAAGCTCGTTATAGGAAAACAGAGTAGTGATGAAAGCATAGAGAGTGCTCTGATAGAGCCAAAATATATTGCTAAAATTCTCTGTAGCTTTTATATAACTTTGTATATTTCGATCAGACATTCTGAGCAGATATTTTCCCATTTTAGATACGTACATATGTATATGGTGTCCGTGTATTGGGTTTTTTTTTTGCACTGTTTTCATCACTATCGTCGTCTGCTTCCGTTCGCAATGATATAACAACACACCTAAACAGACAGCTGTTGGATGTGTTTGTCCTTGAATTCTAGCAATGAACTTAGAATGCATGTTCAATGTCATTGAATGTATTCCTTCTTTTCTTTCTATTTTATTTGCTAGCTTTCTTTGTGTGTTGCCTTTTCTCTTAATTGCTATCTTATCTTATACTTTAGTCAAATGTTTTTTTTTGCGAGCCGTTTGTTAGTCATAAACATTTAGAAAGTTCAATGCACTTGGAATTTGGAGGCGACTTTTGTATTCGGGAATATTGCACTTGGCAAATAATCAGCTGATACGAATTGAGTGGGTTGTGGGGGGCGGAGACCTTCAAACTTGAACTTGAACTTGAACGGGAGCCTGTTATCCATATAACTTATCGCCCCGTTTTCAATCAATCAAATGTTATTTCATAATGAGCAAATAATGAACTATATTTCCCTACTCTTTTTTCTTTCAATCTTTGCAGAACCGAGAGTATTAGCTCTGAGGAGGAAGAAGACTGGCCAACTTCACCCATAATTCCAATATTCGAACAATGTTAGTATCCAGCCACTCAGCAGCACCCCACACTGCAAGATAACAGCTGGAGCAGGATTAAGCCACGAAACGGAGACGACGGATACGCACTCGACGGGCACATCACACACAGAGACAGACATCAAATGGAGCCGCCATCTTCCTGGAATGCAAGGCAGCGGCAGGAGCAGCAGCAGCAAAACACACACATATCCCACTGCATTGGAAAAGCGAACAAAGGATAAGCTGCAGCAGCAACAACAACAACCAACTGCTGTTGCATTTGAGTGTGTGTGGTGTGTGTACCGTCAGTGTGTTGTGGATTGGATTGAGTGAGCGTTTCGTGTGCGTGCGTGCATAGAGAGAGAGAGAAGAGAGGTGATTGAGAGAGTGTGTGTATATTTTGCTAAACTGCATCATAATTCTTTTGGCATACACATATATATTATTACCGCTGGTTCTAACATTTAAGAAACATTTGAGTTTTAGGCGAAGAAAAAAAAGGAGAGAGTCAGCAAAGTAACACCCCCCTTGTCTCCCCTTTTTGCCAGACAGGTTGCCAGATATGCGTCACTAGGCGCTCCCGTTAGAGGGGCAACCATTTTTTCAATTTATTTGCGGCAGACAAAAAAATACGTGAAAAAAAATCAAAAGCAAAAAAAAAATTACAAAAAAAAAACAAAAAAACGAATGCTGCGGACCATCATACAAAAGATTGATGCCGTTCCGGATCATTATTTGAGATCAGAGAGAAGGAGGAAACGATTGCAGAGTTGCCAGCCCCAAAAAACACAAAACCAGACTCTGGAATGGGAATGCAATTTTTTGGTGGTAACCGCAAAAAAAATATATCAAAAAACAAAACATTACAAAAAAAAACATCAAAATCATCAAACACACAAAAAATCAATTAGTTTTAAAAAACTTTATGTTCTCCCCATGTTTGTGCTGCTCTTATCAGTTCTGTTATAAAATCCCAAACCCCCAATCAAAGGACCCACAAAAATACCAACAAAAAAAATCATAAAATCTTAAAAAAAAGTACAAAAATTCTCTATGTATAGACAGACCTAAACTTTAAGGTAGCAGAAACCGATCAGATGCGCTATCCATAATTTTAGCCGCGCTCAAAAAACAAACAGATGAAAGAAAAAACTATACAAAAACATAATTCGCCGCCTATATCGACTAAGAACTCTTAACAATAACAATACCAATTAAATTAAATCAATTATGCAAGGAGAAAATCCACGATATTGTACCAGTAGTGTGTGTCTAGTAGATTTTTCTCTGTATAACAAAAAAGAAACAAACAAAACCAAACAAAAACCATTTGCCGCCCGAAAAGAAAACAAAATCTTTCATTATCATGCGATTCTATGGTGGAATCAACAATTATTAGTCAGCTTCAAACAATCAATCAAAACAATTGATGCTTGGAAATGAGCATAGACACGGTGATCCTTTTTTATATTTTACTCCTCCCCTACACAACCGTATACACTTTCTTTTTTGTTATATAATCTTATTTAATTTATTAAACGATATGTAAAAAACAAAAACCATACAAAAACAAGACCAACAGACATATGTTGTAGTACATTAAATATCCACTAAATCCTAGTTTACGTAAACCAGCAAAAAATTCGAACCGCAACAAAAACCGAAATTCAAATTAAGATTGAAGCGCGGCGAAATTTAAGCAGAAATTATGATGCATTATTTAGCAAGATGTACAGAGAGACAGCGAGAGATATGTGTAGAAGGAAGAGTAGAAAGGAGAGAAACGTATGTGGAGAGCATAGACAGACAGGCATAAAGGAAAAGAAAAACTACCGCAAATGGAGAAAAAACAATTTTAAAATTTTACATATTCTTTTTTTTAACATCTTTCCCCCGATAAAGGGACTCACACATAGATTTATGTGCCTGCGATCCTTGGGTCGAGACTATTTCTGTAAATTTAAATAAAATGCGATTGCCACTGTGTCCTCCACAGTGGTAGACACTTTTCAATGAGTATTTACAACAAAATCCAATGTTTTATTTAACTTTGTTTTTTGCGTGTGCATGTGCCAAGTGTATGTGTGTGTGTGTGTGCGTGTAGCAAGACGTGGACCGGGATCAGCCGCCCCAAAATTCAGCTAGCAACTCCAGCGAAATGTGAGTACCACCATCCATATACACAGCCCCAACACAACACAAACCGATGCATGACACTCGGACAAATGTAAAATAAAACTTTTGGAATTTGCTGTAAATATTCCTTTGTTTAAACGAACCCCAAGCAATCCTCAAGTTGTGCAATAGATTCGTATTCTCCCCCCTCTAGTATATTTATTTCCTCTTCTTGGCAATAACTCACTTTTGAGTAGCTTTGTTCAGCTATGAAATGGGAACACACCGTCGAACGTCAAGCGCTGAAAATACGAGTAGGTGAAAGTAAAAACTTACTTTATCCATATATATTTAAGCGAGAGAGATAAATGTGTTCAATTGCCTGGCAAATCACCACAAGCTGAGAAACAAACAAACAAAAGCAACAAGATGTGAAATCAATTTAAGCTTAGTCTAACTTTTTGTAAGGGCAAACTGACAAATAAGCGATAAATAATGATTAAGCCGATGATACGGGAGCGGTGGATTAGAGCTAAGTTTTTTTAAAATGCCGTCGACTGCCACCACGCCACCATGTTCCCGCTGTGCGGCTGGTGGGCGGGCTGAGATTTCAAGAAAATACTTGCATGTATTTCGTATTTTTAAAACTAGCAAATTTTACATTGTATTTAGCGCAGAGTTAGTTAAATATTTGCAATCAAGAACAACACGAAAACAAAATCTCAATTATTATACAATTAGTTTACTGAAGAACAGAAAATAACCCCTGTACTAAGATCCAAGAAACATGTCTATATATAGGTATTATTTTTAGTTGTCTCATTTCCCTCATTGGAGAAGTTTGAGCTTAATTTTTGCGAGAGCATTGGTTGAGGTTTAACCTTAGGATTAGTTACGAATTTTAACCAGACGCGAAATGAATTCATTCTGTACATTATAAACCATTCATTTTAATTTATTCGAAATCACGGCCTGCAATTAGGTTTTACTTTAAGGAGGAGGAGACAGTCCCAAACAAATCATGAACAAATGGATCATTGTGTAAAAACAAAATGAGATAATGTTGTTTGAAAACAACTGAAAAATCGTGATCATTGTAAAATCATTGTACACACATTACAACAAATAAATGGAAAAAAAAGTATTATTAAATCGTAACCAAAACATGTTTTCTATTTTTATTTGGGGCGACTCATCTTTTCAGCTCAATTGTCAACAAGTTTCCCAATTCGAATTTGATTGCGATAAGACGAAACCCTCGAAAGTCGATGAGCGCTGAAACCATTGCTACGTTACTAAATTTTCGTCCATAGTTGCACGGAAAAAATTGACGACACTCCAATATAAAGAGTTTTTATAATAAGCCAAATTGATTCTTCAATCGGAATAAATTGTTTTTTCAGTGTTAAAAGTCTTGGCAACCTGGTTATATCAAATAGAACATCAACATCGGGGAATATGACTTAAGACTACGGCATACACTTTGGTATATTTTTAGGAATGGCGGTATATTTTGTCGACTAATCCGCAAAAACTAGGGCTGTCAAATATTTAAAAAATATATCGGTGATATATTTTGGTTGGAAAAAATATCTAAATAATATAAAATATATCACTGCAAAAGAATCGATATATTTAAT